AGTATCAACAAATTACTCCAGGGTTTTCTTTTCCTTTCCTTTCCTTTCCTTTACTATGTAGTCCAAGCTGACCAAAAACTCTCTATGTAGCCCAGGCTGGTCTCAAACTCATGATCTTCTTGCCTCAGTCTCCAAAGTGCTAGGATTGTAGGCATGAGCTACCATGCCCAGGCAGGGTTTTATTTTCAGAACTGTATTTATTCACTAGTTAAATTATTAAAAATGAAATACAGACTTTTTGGAAAAATTGTAGAAATTCATTTCAATCCCAAACAATTGTCACAAAGAGTCAATATATACAAAGCTTATTGAAAGAAACAGAATTGCATTCCACATGAACTTTGTGGATATGTGCAGTCACTCAATAAAACCAGAGAGTCTGGATATACTTTAGATAGTTTATTCTCAGAAACAAATAAAGAATTATTTCCCAGGATATTTAGAGGAAGTTTACCAGAAGTGTAATTCTTTATATAAATATTAGTGGACTAATCATTATATCCAGGCAGAGATACTTATACACCCCCTTAGCTTACTCAACTTGTTTGTGTCAGAAACTCAAAGTCAGCTTCCGCTCCTAAGTGTCCCATATAAAATATGTATGGTGGATTTGTCCAATTCTTTTTTTTCCCCTTTTTGGCTTGTGTAAGCTAGGCAATTGCTCTACCACTGAGCTATACTCCAGCCCCTGTTGGATTCTTATTAATTTGTACTCAACATTAAATTGAATACATTTAGAAAACTTGCAGAGAAGTGTTACATCTCTTCCAAATGGTATATTAATGGTTAGCAAAAGAAACGTTGTCTCCATTCTGCTAGGTTTTGGCACGTGTCTCAGTTCCTCATTTTATTAGGAACCAAAAAGGGAGATGGCATAAATGCCCTTCTTAAGTGAAGCCTTATGTCTTGCTTATAATAACTCCTCCCTCAGAGGCAGTTGTAGATTCTGAGATAGTTGTGGGTAATCATTATTTTACATGCAGTTGTAAGAAATAATATGGATTCTGTGTACCTCATACCCAGTTTCCCCCAATGGTAACATCTTGCTAAACTATAGTATAATTTCACAACCAGGATCTGAGCATCAATTCAGTTGAGATCCTGATGATTTCCACCACCCTTTGGTAGTCACACCCACCTCTCCTGTTCTCCACCCTCTTCTCTGGCAACTCCCAATCTATTCTCCAGTCCTATAATTTTTGCATTTCAAAATGTTACATATCAGACAGTGGGCAAACTTTTAGGATTCGTTTTTCTCACTCAGCATAATTCTCTGGAGATTTATCTAAGTTCTTGCCTATATCAAGTAATTAGCTCCTTTTTTATTGCTGAGTAGTATTCCCTGACATGGATGTACCATAATTTGCTTCACCAGCCTCCAGATTAAAGGACATCTGTTTGTTGGCAGGGTTTTTTTTTTTTTAATATCATATATAATTCATGTACAAAGTTTTGGGTGCACTTAAGTTTTCATTTCTCTGCAATCAGTGCCCAGGTATACAATTGCTGACTGGTATGACAGTTGCATATTTAGAGTTTTAGGAAATCTACCAAATGGTTTTGTGAGTGGATACTCTGTGTTACATTCCCAGCTGCACTATGTATCTGATCCAGTTTCTCTCATCATTGTCAACATTTGGCTTTGTTATTATTTTAGCAATTGTGGTAGGTGTGCAGTGACATCTCACTGTGGTTTTAGTTTGCTCTTCCCTAATGAATAGTGAAGTTGGATATCGTTTCATCTTCTCATGGGTACACTTGCCATTTACAGGTTCTCTATAGTGAAATGGCTTCTTGTGTCTTCATTTTCCTAGTTGGATTTTTTAAATTGTTGAATTTTGAAAATTCTTGACATAGACCTAGATATGAGCCATTTATCAGGTGTGTGGTTTGCAATTTTTTTCTGTCAATCAGTAGCCTGTCTTTTCATCCTCTTAACATGGTCTTTTGCAGAACAAAACGTTAAAATTTTGGTGAGGTCTAATTTATCAAATTTTCCTTTTATGCTTTTTATGTCAAGTCTTAGAACTCTTAGCTTAGCCCTTGGTCCCCAAAGATTTTCTACACTTTTATATTTTATATTTCAAATGTGATCTCTTTTGAGTGAATTTTTGTGTAAAGTATTAAGTTTAGTCCAAAGTTCACTTTATATTCCTATGATGTCCACTTACTCGAACACATTATTTATGTATTTTTGGCACTACTGGGGTTTGAACTCAGGGTCTTGCACTTGCTGGGTAGGTGCTATACCACTTGAACCACACTTCCAGCCCCTTTTTGCTTTAGTTATTTTTCAGATAGGGTCTTGCATTTTTGCCCAAGGCCAGCCTCCAACCATGATTCCCCTACCTGTGGCCTTCCACATAGCTAGGACCACAGGATTGTACCACCATGCCTGCTTATTTCTTAAATGAGTCTCATTATCCTTTGTATTCTGGCTGGCCTCAAACCACAATCTTCCTGATCACTGACAGAGTATCTGAGATTACAGGCACAGGATACCATGCTTGGCCCACCAGCACATTTATCAAAAACACCACGGGGTTGGGGTTGGGTTGGGGGTGTAGTTCAAGTGGTAGAGCTCCTGCCTAGTAAGCATAAGGCTGAATTCAAACCCAAGTACCACCAAAAAAAAAAAAAATTCCGTCCTCCCTGTGTTGAATTACTTTGTGCCTTTGTAAAAAAAAAAAATCAGCTGGGCATATTGCGTGAGTCTATTTGGAGACTCTTTCTTCTGTTGAGCTGTATGTCTGTGCCTTCCCCAATAACACAGCTTTGGGTACCGCTGCTATGCAATAAGTAATTTAGTTCTCCTTTTACAAGTGGTTTTAGCTATCCCAAAGCATGTAAACCTTGAAATAGAACTTTTTTCAGTGCTGGGGCTTTATACATGCTAGGAAAATGCTCTACCACTGAGCCACACCCCTATCCTGGAATATAACTTTAAGAATAAGCTTGTATATGTTGACCTTGGTGAGATTTTAATGGAAAATACATTGAATCGAAAGTTGAATTTGGAAGAACAGACATCATTATTATTTTGTGTCTTCCAGTCCACGAACATGATATCTCTCTTTGTTTGAGTCTTTGATTTCTTACATTAGAATTTAAATTTTTTCAGCATATAAATCTTGTATATGTTTTGTTAAGTTTATACCCCCAGGTATTTAATTTTCTTTGGAGGGAGTATAAGTGGTATTATTTTTAGTTTGTTTTCCACATGTTCATTGTTAATGTAGTGATTAAATCTTGTGTGCAGATCTTGTATCCTGAGTCCTTGTTGCACTCACTGCTTCTAAGAGTTTTTTTTTAATTTTACAAAGTAGATTATTTGGAATTTTCTATATAGACAATCATATCAAATATTAGAAATTGCTGTTAGGAATCTTTTGAGAATTGGCATATAAAAAATAAAAGAATATTGTGCCTCTTACTATGTGTTTAATAATACTTAAAATATACCTTGACAACCCAAACTCTCTTCATGTATTATTTTGTTAAAGAAAAAAATAACCATTAATACCACCTCTATTTATTTTAAGAATGTGTGTTTTCCATATATGGTGATGCATCTTTTTAAGTTATACAACATACCTAACCTACCAGGGTTTATAGCCATTATGGAAATACAGAAAACATGGAGACTACTAGCTTGTTTAGAGATTTGAATGACAAGAGGTCTTAGTTGTATGTACATTCACACAGCCCTTGGATGTACACAGGTGCTATCTAGTTCTTACAAACACCAGGAACACCTGCATATGATTTGTAGAAAATCCAGAATCTGTAGGTAAGAGTCAAATTTTGATGACTATTTTTCCCCAAAAAGCAGTGGCCAATCATCTCTTGTTCATGATCACTTTGCTGATTTTCCTGGCTCAATAACTACCTGTGCCTTTCAGCAACTTTGTTCTTAAAACTGGAGAGTATAGAGGTACCACTCCAGTGCATGCAGTGAGTTTAGAAGTCTCACCTTGGGGTGTTGACTTGCCTTCTCTTTGCCTCAGTTTCCTTGTCTGTAAGGGACAATGATGACATGCATCTTACTGGTTGTATCTACCAAGGACCTGGCCCAGTGCTGGGCAGAGACCAGTCCTCGGGAGCAGTCCTCAGTTGCTCACTGCTTCCTTTCCTCCTCTAATGTATTGCTTTTGCTTTTTCAGTTGTGCATACTCCCTTCTCTCCACACACCATAGAAGGAAATAGTTCTTATTTTGGATGTCACCCTTTATGCATGCTAGAGGAGAACTCTTCATCAGAAATGTGAGCTCCCAGATCTGGGGTCTGGGATGCTTAGACCAAAGCTACCCCATTTTCTTTAATGTTGCACATGCTTGCTTACATAGAAGAGCCGTGTGCACTCAACTGCATGTTCTGATGCTGTCTGTCATGTTAGAGTGTGGGGAAGATGCTCCATAACTGACCAATACATTCTAGCAAATGTGACTCGTAATACATTTGCAATCCAGTAGCTTGATGGGTAACCCACAGACAAAAGTCCTTGACCTTTATCTTAAACATGACATCATGGTTGTATGACGCATATTCAGTTCCTTTATGGTTACAATGAACTTAAATCCAAGATACTGTTTTGGCACGGCAAGCAATAAAAATGCTTTCACAATACAAAGCAATCACATTGTACATATAGGCATTTTTTTTCTTAAAGAATGGAACAGCAACCAACGGCCCCAAAGTGCCATTTTTGACAACCAACAATGACTTCCAAACAGGCGTGTCTAGATTGAATATTACTCAATTGAATACAATATAAACAAAGATTATCCACGTGATGTACCTGTGTGATTGGCAGGTCTGCCAATGACTGATTAAACCTCAAGTCTAGCAGAGGTTCCCTCTTACCCTCTCTCATTCTGCTGTAGAATGACAGGGTGGCTGTGAACTCTTCAATGAAGAGACAGCAGTCAAGAGCTGTCTGGCTGCATCACTTAAAAGGTTTTCATTTTAACACAAACACTGTGGACTTTCTTGTTACCCCATCAGGCCTTCCTGGGAACTGCTTTGAAATATTCCTCCCTTGAAATGTCGGCTACACCTCCATACCATTTCTGAAGCCAGATGTGTTCTATCCTCATCTTCATGAAGAACCATTCATACTGACGAGGCCACTTCCTCATGCCTGGGTGCCTGCAGAGGCAAAGGGAGATAACCATGAAGTTGTTTTTACCAAAGGGGTGCAGTCTGGCTGATCATGGCACCTCCAGACTCCTGGGCTGGTTTGTGCTGAGAGCTGCTCAGCCCAGCCAGAGGCAGAAGTTTTAAAGCCAAATGTCAGGGCCTGGGGCAGCTTTAAGGAGGCAAGAAGCTGTAGTCCCTACACTGAGTGGCTAAAAGTGCATGTCTGGAGCCATGCAACTTGGTTTGAATCCCAGTTGAACTGCTGATGATTTGTGATACCTCACGGGGAGTTGGTTCTCCCAAGCACTAGGCTCCTTACCTGTCACATGGGTGATACTGCTGGTGCTTAGGTCCTTGATGCTGTGTGGGAAGCAAACCAGGAAGCATATATAAAATGCTTGTATCCCACAGGTGCTCAGTGGATGCTGGTGATTGTAGTAGGATGCTTCAAGTAAGGCTTGATGCATCTCTGTATAGAATAGTAACAAAATGGTGGGTCCATCTGCTTGTGGGAAGATTCCCATTCCTGCAGCAAGCTTAGACTGTTGTCTAGCCTGAGAGTCAGCTAGGGCAGAGAGCATCGCATTCTGCCTTCTGCTATTGCCAGACTTGCCTCCTCTCATATGCACCCCTGCACACATTGAAGGCAGGGCTGTGGCTCACCTATTTCTTAACTTTATAAAAATAAAAATTGCCTTTAAAATGCTATAAATAAAATTCAAAGACCTATTCCAAACTGGGAAAAACACTGGTAACAAAACAAAAGAAATAATAAATCCTCAGAGTGGATATTTGACAATGTTTGTGGCACTGACTTGGCTTGGTTTTCACTGCGGGCAGGCATTGCAAAAAGTTGGAAAATGTAGGACTTGTGCCTGGAACACCTCAATGTGGTGTTCTTCAAAGGTGGTGTCAGCCCACTGGAGTCCATCTCCCTGGCTTCTGCTGCCACTACCCGCACCTGTGGTGCCTGATGTAAAGTTCACCATGTTGCCACCAAAAAGCAGCTCAGACCAATCACTGTGATTTCATCGCAGCATCAAATGGCACAGTCCTGTCCTCTACTTGTGTATCTTTGGGCAAGCCAATTTTAAAGCATCTTCATACCTTGAAAACATGGCTTGCTTGGCAAATTCTACTTCTTCTGGAGATACCACAATCATCCGGCCAGTGAATGTTAACCGAGCACATCGGGGATCTTCTGGGTCCACGATGTTTTTTCTGTGTGTGAAGAATATTTTTCATATATTAAAACAATGCTAGAACATCAGCCTGAAATACTAAGGATTTTATTAATAATTAATAATAGGAATCACATTACCAGTTCTGTCATCCAAATTTTTATGCTGTCTTGTAATTACTTTAAAATCCTCGGGTATAAGGAATGTGAGAGGTATGTTTTCATAAACTGGATGTTGTCAGAGCAGATAGATGATATCTAAAGTACCCCAGACAAGGGTGCACGTGCCAGGGGAAGTGGAGATTTGTTATTAAAAGGGAATGAAGTTTCAGTTATGCTATGCTTCGGCTTTGGAATGTCCCCCAAACACCCATGTGGTAATGCTTAGTCCCCGGTTTGGTGCTGTTGAGAGATGGTGGTAATGTTAAGAGGCAGGACCTACTAGAGGTCTTCCAGTCATTGGTGGTGCGCCCTTGAAGGAGATAGTGTGGCTCCGCTCCTCTTCATTTTTTTCTTTTTGCTTCTTGGCCATTATGTGAACAGGTTTTGATGGCACTGGGGTTTGAAATCAGGGCCTCATGCTTGCTAGATAGCTGCTCTACCACTTAATACATGTCTCCAGCCCCAAACTGTTTTTCTTAAAGTACATATACCAGGGTTACATCTGCAAGACCCAATCAGTATTAGTATTTCTTAGGATGCTCCCGTGAATATTCTGGCATTTGCTGCTCTAAGATTTGTGTACTTTTACACCAAGGGCATTGGCGTATCACTTCATGTTGTTCCATACCCATAATAATCTTAGGAAGTTGATTTTATTGTCAGGCCCATTTTAGAGATCAGGAAAATGGGATGCGGAAGGGTTAAGTAACTTGTCTAGGGTCATGGAGCTTGTGGGGTGCAGCCAGGCCTGTAGGACCCTGGGCTTTGGTCTCAAGCAGGAAGCTATGCTGCCTCCCACCTGGTCACTTATATCTGGGCTTATTTCATGGGATCTGACCTCTGTTTCCCAGGTCTGATCAGCCTTCTGGGCTGTGTATTCTCTCTCTTGTTACCTGATTGTGGCCTTTTAAATATTCTACCTTTCCTCAAAAGCTTGTCTTGGGAGTCGACATGGGGGAAAAAGAACTTATGGAAGACGCTTGTTGTAGCCTTATTTGTGATGACAAACATTATCATCCAAGTAAGCCAAAATACTTAGCAGTGTGGAAATACAAAGAAACTAAGCTTGATCAATACTATGAAATAAAGTCTTTCAAAAGAATGGCATTGCTGTAGGTGTCCATAACAAAAATTTGAGTAAAAAGTTAGTTGAAAAAAGATATGTGCAATATGGATCCATTAAAAAAAAAGAAAAGAACCCTAAAACTACATATATGTTAACATGTGCTTAGAAAAAGTTCTAGAAGGATACAGCTCAAGGCTGAATCTCTGGTTATTTCAGAAAGCAGGAATTTGAGGGACTTAGGGGTGGGTGTGAGAAGTTCCCTTTTATTTTGTATACTTCTATAGTCTTTGAATATTGCCATCATGATATGCTACCTCCATTAGGAGCACTAACTAGCATGGGTCCCTGGGTTGGACCTACCCCAGGCCTGGGGCTACATAGGCTGCACATCCTTGAATTCCTTTTTTTAAATAAAAAAAATACACGATGAAATGTTCAACATCCCTGGCAATAAAAGAAATGCAATCAAAATGGATTGGAGAGGATGCAGGGGAAGAGGGAGGAGTCCTTATATTCACTGTTGGTGGGAAGGTAAATTAGTACAGCCACTATGGAAATCAGAATGGAGGTTCCTCAAAAAACTAAAAACAGACTTACCATATGACCTGGTGATACCATTTTGGGGCTCTTATCTGAAGGAATATCAGCATGCAGTAGAGATGTTTATTTCCCCATCTATATAGCAGCACTAGTCACAATAGCAAAACTGTGGAGTCAGCCTAGGTGCCCCTCAAAAGATGAATGGATAAAGAAAATGTGGCATATATACACAATGGAATTTTATTCATCCTTAAAGGATTATGTCATTTGCAGGAAAATGTATGGAAGTGGAGATCATGTTCAGTGAAATAAGCCAGGACATATCATAACACAAATGCAAATGTGAGATTGTCTGGGGGCGTGAGTTGGCGGGGAGAAGGAAAGAGGATGGGGGGTGAATGATAGTGAAGTACATTTGTGCCTGTGTATGAAGATGACATAATGAAACCTACCAAAAACTGTTAAAAAAAATAGGGAGGAGGGAAAATAGGAAAAAGAAAGAGCAAAAGAGAGGGTTAATTTGATCAAAATAGAATATATGCATGTATGGGAATACCACAGTGAAAACCCTTTGCACAATTAATATACACAAATAAAAATCTTAAAAAGAATATGTGTATTTGAAAAAAGTAGTTGACAATTAAGGTCTTAGAAGTAAATATTTTCCTGAAATTTCTGCCTGCTTCCTCTCTCTGACTCTTTATTTTTTCATCCTCTCCTGAGGCAAGTCTTGTAGACTAGAATTCTTCTTCCCCGGGTGGGCATAGCCATAAAACCTAAAAGCAGGCCTCTAATTTTCCCCTCCTTTTCTGTGTAAGAGTTGTAAATAAAGAGATTCTCTGACCTACCTTATGAGTAGATCATAAGAATCCCAGTTCAGAAAGGGGTCCAGCCCACGCCAGACTCTCCATACTTGAGAGTTGGAATTGGCATTATGTCTTTCGTTTGACAAAGTAGTTCTGCAATTTGCATTCTCAGCAATAATGATTCTGTAGCTCAACGCTTTCTCTAACACTTGATATTGTCAGACTTAAAAAGTTTTGCAGTTGAGGTTTCAATATTGTTTTAGTATTTAAACATGTTTCTATGTTTACTGCTCATTGGATTGTTTTTCTGCCTGTCTTTCTGTTGGGTTGGAGTGTTTGCCTTTTTCTTACTGATCTATAATTATACTCATGTATTCTGGATATCACTCATTCCCTAGATATTGACATGTTTATATCTAAGTCTAAATCTCTCTAACATATAATGGCCTCCTAATTAGGGTTGCGGACAAAATATAGCCTGAGCCACATTCATGGGGGTGGAAAAAAGCATTTTTGACTATCTGAAATTAGTAAATACAGTATTAGTCAGTTTTTTGGCACAGTGACAAAAATACCTGACATAAGCAACTTGAGGGAGGGAAGATTTATTTTGGCTCATGGTTTCAGAGGGTTTAGTCCATGGTGAGGCTGAACATCATGGTGGAAGCACATAGTGGAGCAAGCAGCTCACCTCATGGCAAGTGAGAGAGAAGCACAGAGGCTCAGGAAGATGGGCAGGTCCTGTGCACACCCTCCCAGTGAACTTCCTTCAACTAGGCCCCACCTTCTGAATGTTTCCATCACCTCCCAAAATAGTACCACCAGCTGGGGAGCAAGACTTCAAACAGGAACCTGTGAGGGATACTTCCTGCCTAAACCGTAACATGCAGAACACATAAACTTCATCCTTTTAAAGAATATAGTTTAGGATTTTTTCACAAATCTGCAAATTTTACAGACAAAATTGAATTTTAGATTCCTTGCATCACCAGCCAGTAGCATGTGTCAGTCAGAACTGGGTGATGTGTCTAGACGTCACATAGAATAACAAAATCCAACAGTCAAAATCATTATAAAGAAGATAAGAAGGTGAGAGGGCTTTCTCTGCTAGACAGTGAGCCTCAATATAAAGCCAGATTCCTTAAAGCAGTGGGCACTGGTGCAAGGAAACACCAAGAGAGTAGATAACAAGGCCTGTAAACAGACCCATGCATTCAGGACAAAGGTTGAAATAGAATCTAGCAAGTGAAGTTTTTTGGGTTTTTTTTTTTTTTTTTGCATTATTGGGGCTTGAACTCGGGGCCTTCACCTTGAAGCACTCCCACAGCCCTTTTTTGCAAAGGGTTTTTTTCAAGATAGGGTCTCGCTGGACTATTTCCCTGGGATGGCTTCGAACAGCAATCCTCCTGATCTCTGCCTCCTGAGTAGCAAGGATTACAGGTGTGAGTCACCAACACCTGCCACAAGTGAAGTTTTGATTAGTCAGTAGATAATAATGCTGAAAAATTGACTAACTGGAAAACACTTAAAAGTAGAGACCTGTATTCCAAAACACACACACAAGTTAATTCTAAATGGAATTAATGATTTACATGTGTAAAGGAAAGTTTTAATATACTTCAGATAAAATGTAGAAAATATCTTTATGACTTCAAGATTGGAAAGAAAGAATTTCTTTCTTTCTTTCTTTCTTTTGTTGTGGTACTAGGGTTTGACCTCTGAGCCTCAGAGGTGCTCTATCACTTGAGGCATTCCACAAGCCCTGGAAAGAATTTCTTAAATAAGACACAAAATAATAAGCCATAAAGATAGATGGATTTGACTTATTAAATACAAACCTTTTATCATAAATAACTTTAAAAAAAATCCTTAAGGAGTAGGGATAGTAAGTTTAGCAAATAAAATTACACAATGCCCAGGTTTAAAATTTTATAGTAGATAGAGCACTTACCTGACAATAAGAAGGCCTTGAGTTCAAACCTCAGTACTGCCAAAATATTTTTATAATAATATAATTGTATATTTTTAAATTATAATATAATGTAATAAATACAATTTCTACTGATATGCTTGCTGTGTGGGTGGATTTTCTTCTTTATTTACAGACACATAAATCCAAATGGGTTCAGCTTGCTCCCAGCTTATTTAGGATTTTTGCATCTGTGCTTGGGAACTACTTTGACACAGAATGAATGTCCCTTCTCAGCATTGTTGCAGGTTGGGATCAAGTTCAGACTGGCCCTGTAAAATGGTGAGCATGGGGCTCTCCTTGCCTAACCTCCACAACCATTTGTATGATATTGTGAGTTATCTGATCCCTCATTGTTAGAAAAATGAATATATGAAATCATCCGAGCCTGACATGAGTACATTTTTAACTTACTGAATTGTTTTAAATGGTATAGTTGAATGCAAGATTTCTATTCTTCTGCAAGTTCCTTCTTTAAAAAAAATTGTCTACTTCATC